GCTGTGCAAAGATGGTCTCACTGGTCGCTGTTACTGGGAAGTCGAGTGGAGAGGAAATGTTGAGATATCAGTGAGTTACAGAGGTATCAGGGGGAGAAGAGGTGGAATTGTCTCTGTTTTTGGATTTAATTATCAGTCATGGAGTCTGAGCTGCTCTGAGGATGGTTGTCAGTTTGTCAGGCACAACAAGATTAAAACACTCATCTCCTCCTCCTCTGTCTCTAACAGAGTAGCAGTATATGTGGACTGTCCTGTTGGCACTCTGTCCTTCTACAGAGTCTCCTCTGATACTCTGATCCACCTCCACACCTTCAAAACCACATTCACTGAAACTCTTTATCCTGGGTTCATAGTCTTTCCTGGTTCCTCAGTGAGTCTATGCCAAGTTTAGTTAGAACAACACTGTTGAACAGATAGTTCAGTCTTTACATGTCTGTCTCTTCCGCTCAACATGTTTTCAGATTCATGCTGATTGATTCTTGTTGATCAACCAGATGATATTTTACATCATTAAAAATGGATGATACGTTTGTTCCAGAATCAATGTGTTGTTTTTCTGTCATTTCCCACATAAAGTTTCATAGTGAATATCAGTATGTTGTGTAGCTCAAGCTCAGCTCACTACGGCAAGCAAAAGAATTCGAAAGATACCAGCCTTTTAGGAAATCTGCTCCAACGAGACAGACTCTCACGCTGTCTATTAAATATCATGGGCTGTTCAAGTGTACCACACATATTAGTAGAGTAGCGCGTACTGTTGAATTGGTTATCATGCAGAGTTCAACTCTGTAATTCATGAGTTTGGTTACCTATTTAGTATACAATGAATTGATAACTTTTTTTAAAAATTGATTTTTATTAATTCTTTAAATGTTATTATGAGCAATATTCTTAGCATGATGTTTTCCTCTTTAGGCACAAGGGATCCAGTCAAGCATAAAAATATAGCTTAGCACATTTTCATTTGGCTTTCTGTGCCATTAAACATCAACAAAGTTACATTTTTGGAAATCAGACTTTCAAGTTTAATTGTTAATAAATGCATAAAAAAGTATAATTGTCTGCAATATGTTGGATCACAGTTGGATATATATGTTGGAATGTAGTCAGTGTAAAAATATTAAAGCCATTCAGCATCTATCACGCTTCTGTCATTGATGATGAACTCTTCATTGATGGTGATTTATCGCCCTCGGCTGGTCAGAAGTTGAACTGCATGATGTCAGTTTAATGAACACCGATGGCATAAGTGTTTTTAAATCTGCTTTTTATTGTTTGGGGTTCTGCTCCACAAGTCTGAGTTTCACAATGAAATCAGTTGATGTGAGTTGGAGAAATGAGTCATTTGAATCAGTTTAACCACTCTGGCATCATCATAGACAGAATCAAGTTTGATATCAAATATATCATTTTGATCTTGAAGGAAATCAGTGTTCTTCTTTGGTGCTCTATAGATTCTAAAAAAAAGGATACTTGGTTTTGTTTGTAAATCAGCAGCTAAG